AGTAGAAGGAGGCGCCAAGGTCTGCGGACGCCTGTAGGATTACCTTGGGTCTCCACTTGACTGAAGGTAGCAGCCTCGAACTACGATCTGTATGGTCTAGTATCGGGATCTGCACAAAATTGCAGAGTATAGCATCAGTACAACCGACCCCATGTACTGGTAAGTGCCGAACCTAACCTCGGCGAAGTAGTGACGAGGCTAGGACACGACTAACACTATAAACCTGTGCAGTTAAACAATATCTAACAGAATAACAATAATAGAAGCTATCAGAAATTTACCAGAAGGGGCAACATGCTCTGGGGGATACTAGAATAAGTAAACACAGAGATAACAGAAAAGAAACAATTAAGGCACTTGAACCGATAACACCAAATAATCACAGTACAAAAAAATAGATGCACGGCATCACCCTTCATGCTTTTACTCTCAATCCTCACCATGCAATCAATAATATGTGCATGGCATCACCCTTCGTGCTTTATCACTCTTCCTCACCATGTGAATAATAGGAATGTGCACGGCATCACCCTTCGTGCTTTATCTCTCTTCCTCACCATATGCATCAATATAAATGTAAATGTGCACGACATCACCCTTCGTGCTTTATCACTCTTTCCTCACCTAAACAGTAGAAATAATAACATCCCGGCAAGGAAATCAACAATAGAAACAACTACATCCCGGCAAGAGAATCAGCTATAACCAATCTCGTTTCAACAGTTAACTTCGTAAAACAAATCTCAACTTGAGCCAATACTCAACAATGGTCAATTACCAAAACAATACCATCAACATGGATAATCATCAAGTTAAGCATGAATAGTGCATAATAAGAATCACAACAGCCACAGTTTAAGACTCATGGACATGTTCGACACCAACGTATATATACTCGTCACCACACCTATACGTCATACACAACACTAACACGTAGCAAATAAGACACAACACCTATTCCCTCAAGTTAAGGTTAGGCTAAACACTTACCTCGATTCCACGACCACCAATCAAGCCTCAAATACCGCTTTCCCTCTAGATTTCACCTCCAATTCACTTGTATCTAGTCATAATTAGCTTAATAACATCAATAAATGCTAACGAACTCCAACCCAATGCTTAATTATAGTTTTTCTAACATTTTCCCCAAAAAGTCAAAAATTGACCCCGGGCCCGCTTGGTCAAAACCCGAAGTTCAAACTAAAACCTGATTACCAATTCACCCCGAGCCCGAATATGCAATTGGTTTTTGAATCCGACCTCAATTTGAGGTCTAAATCTCCAAATTTTAAAATTCTCAAATTTCACCCAAAAACACCCAATTTCCCATAAAAATCCCTAGATTTTGTCATAAAATCTTGTAGAAAGATGAAGTAGATTGAAAGAAATGAGTTAAATGTTATTTACCTGTGATTTGGGGAAGAACTTTTCTTTGGAAAATTGCCTATGAGAGCTTAGGGTTTGAAAATTTGAATGAATGAGTTGAAATCCCGTCTAAGTTATAATTTACACAGTCGTAGATATCGCATTTGTGATAACAGGTTCGCAGATGCAACTAAAGCATCGCAAATGTGAAGCTTGGCATGGCTGCTGACTTTGCAAATGCGAACTATTATTTGCAAATGCGGTGACTGCTGGAGTCACAATTGCGACATTGAACTTCGCAAATGCGAAGGTCCCCCTCCCTGCCCTCTGATCGCAATTGCGATGTATCTTCGCAAATGCGATGCTCGCATTTGCGAGCCAGACTTCGCATAGATCTGCAACACAACAACTATTTCCCTTAAGTCTCAAAACACTCCGCGGCCTATCCAAAACTCACCCGAGCCCTCGGGAATCTAACCAAACATGCACACAAGTTTAAAAATATCATACGGACTTTCTCGTGTGATCAGATCGCCCAAATAACATCTTAAACAATGAATTTAGCACAAAAATAAATGAAAATCTCAAGAACTCTTAAAGTTACCATTTTCACAACCGACGGTCCGAATCACGTCATATGAATTCAGTTTCTTATCAAATTTTACAAACATAACTTATATACCATATTAAACCTGTACCGGGCTCCAAAACTAAAATACGGTTCCAATACCATCGAATTCAATCATTATTCAATTTCTAAACTCCTTATATTTTTCAGTTAAACAATTTTCTTCAAAAATTCATTTCTCGAGCTAGGGACCTCGAAATTCAATTTCGGACATACGCCCAAGTCCCATATTTTCCTACGGTCTGTTTATCCAAAATATTGGCCGAAGTCAACTAAATTTAATTTTTAAAGGCAAAATTTAGCATTTTTCTCAAATTTTCACTTAAGGGCTTTCCGGATATATGTCCGGACTGTGTATGCAAATCGAGGTGAGACAAATGGGGGGTTTTAAGGTCTCGAAACACAGATTTGACTTCTAAAACAAGAGATGACCTTTCGATACATCACACTCTCCCGCCCACCCCCAATATATGTGGGTGGAAGTATGACCACAGTACCAAAACCTACACAAAGCGGCCCTGCCGCCTCACCCCAATATGTATACGGGTGATGGTGTAATAACAATACCCAAAATTCCACAAAAAGCGACCATGCTGTCTCACCCCAATATGTATGCGGGTGGAGGTGTAACAACAATACCCAAAATTTAACACAAAGTGGCCCTGCCGCCTCACCCCAATGTGTATGTGGGTGGAGGTGTAATAACAATATCCAAAATTCCACACAAAGCGGCCCCGCCGCCTCACCCCAATGTGTATGCGAGTGGAGGTGTAATCCCAATCATAATCTCTACACAATTTGGCATATTAACTTTCATATGAAACACGACTTGGAGTTACAATATTTAGATACACAATCCATAAATTGGAACACATCCTCAATTAATAGTACAACATAACAAGTGCATTTGAAACACGAATTGAACATACATCTTTATCACAAGGCTTATTCAAAATAATCGGTTCATAGTGAACATCTTGGAACTTACAAGAGTAATGTGGGGTTCAATTCTTAAGGAAGAGTTTAGCCAACATACCTCAATTGAGCTTCCTTAAATTCTAAAATATTCCGAAAATCTTAACAACTTCAATCTATTTTAGAAATATAGCAATTGAACCGCAATTAGGAAAATGATCATGGTTCTAGCTCATTTGATCATTTTATCAAGCACTAGGTGTGCATTAAGGTTTCAAGATCCTCCTATGGTGGGTTCCAAAATCTCAAACCTATTATCTACCATTTTTAGCTCACATAATCTTCTTACACTCTTTGATAACATATGCATGCAAGATGAACAAGTCCCATACCCATGAATTACCTTACTAATTGCCCATTTCTAGTTATATTTTAAAATTATGAGTTAGGGTGTAGAATCTTATCTCTAGGATGAAGACCTAGTGTGCTTTCCTTGTTAATCTTCCAAGATTTGAGTAAGAATTGGCAGATGAAGCTTAGGAACTTTCTTTCTCACTCTATGACACTCCCTCTCTCTAGAAGTATATATTTTTCCCCTTTAAAATGATCCCCAAGGTTGTTTTATTAGAATGAGCTAGGGTTCAAAAATTAGAAAAATAGGAGCTCCGACACAGGTTTGCGGTCGCATATATGACCACATAATACTTCTGCAGTTCGCGAAATGGGCCGCGAAATGTCCCTCCGGAACTGGGCAGGTCTGCCCCACTCTGGGCCCATTATGCGGTCCGCAGAACCTCCGTCAGAAAAATTTCCATGCTGGATCTATGATCGGTGTGCGGCCCGCGAAATCATTTTGCAATTGCATACTTGGCCGCGAAATGACATCCAAAAGTTTCCAGTTGACGGCCTCACTCCGCGGCCATTCTACGGCCCGCAGAGTGATTCTGTGGCTGCATAGTGGGCTGCAGAAATGTTTTTTCTGCCAAACATTTTTCTTCAACTCCCCAACGTACAGTTCGACCCAAAAATTACGTATCGTATCATTGACACATACGCCTACCTCGGCACTACGAAACTTCGGATTTTTAGGTAAAATTTATGGGACCTTACATGTTATTTCAATCTTTAAGAATAATTAATATTAAGGGTAAAATGAGAAAAAATAATTAATTTTGTCTTAAACTTATAAAGTAATAAATAATTTGAGACAGTTATTTTTAGAAATTAGGAAGGAGTAAAAATAAAAGACAGAAATAGCAGGAGGTTTGTACGGTTGGGGTTTGAACTTCTAAACTCTAGACCAAAAACCAAACCTTTTCTCCTCCTTGTAGGAGAAGTTTTATTTTGTGGCTCATACAACTGACACTAATTGTGTGAAACTCCTTTTTGTCTCACAAATTAGTGGACCCCAATTTTACACTTTTGGGTCCACAGACTAGTGTTAGTTGTATGAGACACAAAATAAAATTTTGCTCCTTCTAGGGTTTTAGAATTTTAAAGTACTCCCTCTTTGTATCCAACGCTTAGCTAAAACCCTATTATCTTCTTTGTTTCTAAGGCGTATTTAAAATACCTGTCATAAGAAGCCATCGTTTCTTCGCTAACTACGGAGAAAGGAACAAAGCAGCTCCAAACTACAATCAGAGGTATCAATTCCACAACCTGCTCTGTACAGCTCTAATTGCACCATAATCAAACCATGTTTTGCTGAAGAATTGTTCATTGATGTGATCCTTCCAATGTATTTGTGCAAAAAATGAAAGACCAATGAAATTTTCTTGGACACTTGTTCATTTGCATAAGCTTTATAAGCTAAAAATCATATTTCTTTTTGTCCTTTGGTCCAGAAATCAGAATCTTTGTTTGCTAATTTGAGATGCTAATTCGAAAAATCCGCAAAAGTGTATCTTGGAAAATGATATCTCAGCTCAACCACCTATTTATTTCTCCTATTTATGAAAAGGGTTCTAATTCTCATAGCCCCCAGAATTTTTCATCTTTGAATATTAGATGCTTTCGTAGTTCACATAATCCTAAGGTATCTGTCCCCGAATCGACAACTCAGACACCCATTTCCGTTGCTGTCAATAAAATGTCGCGGGTTACAAGAACTGATGCACAAGCAGCTCTCTTTGATTACTTACATTGTACAAGAGGGTTTAATTATGTGGATGCCGAACATATTAGCAAGAACTCGCCTCATTTTCTTCAAAGCTTGCTATCCAAGGTTGATAATGATCAAGACATAACAAGGGCATTGACTCGTTTCTTTAGATACCATCCGATTAATGAGTTCGAGCCGTTCTTGGAAAGCTTGGGGTTGTGCTCATCCGAGCTTACATCTTTGCTTCCGCGAAATTTGATCTTTTTGAGTGATGACAGTGTCTTGCTTGATAATTATCATGTTCTTTGTGATTACGGCATTCCTCGTGTTAAAATGGGGAAGATTTATAAGGAAGCGACTGAGATATTCGGATATGACTATGGAGTATTGGATATGAAATTGAGGGCTTATGAGAAATTGGGTTTGAGCAGATCAACAGTTATAAAGTTGGTGACATGTTCACCTACTGTTTTGCTTGGTGAGATGAATAGTGAACTTATTAAGGTTCTTGAGAAATTGAAAATCTTAGGGTTTGAAAATGATTGGATTGGAGGATACTTATCCAATAGGCACTCCTACAATTGGGGTAGAATGCTTCATACGTTGCATTTTCTCAATGAAGTAGGATATAGTGATGAAAAGATGGCGGCTTTGTTTAAGATGAACCCTGCATTCTTATTTGAAGGCTCTGGGAAACGGATTTATGTGTTGGTTGGGCAGTTACTGAAGTTGGGTCTTAAAATGAATGACATATACTCACTATTCTGTCAAAATCCTAATATCCTATCTCTGAAGTGTGCTAAAAATCTCTGGCAGGCATTGTACTTCTTGTTGGAGATAGGATTAGAGACCGAAATTATTGCAAATATTGTATCTACACATATACAACTTCTGGGGTCACATTCTCTGAAGGGACCAAAGACCGTTTTGAGGTGCTTCAAGGGCGACAAATGTCGTTTATGTGAAACTATAAAAGAGGATCCTTTGAATTTATTCAGATTAGCCTCAAAATCAAAAGTTAGCTTGGAGCAGATGACTTCCCAGAACCCAGGAAAATTATTTGAGAAAACTGCTTTCTTGTTGAGATTAGGTTACTTAGAAAATTCAGATGAGATGGCAAAAGCTTTAAAGCAGTTCCGTGGACGAGGAGACCAGTTACAAGAGAGGTTTGATTGTCTAGTAAATGCTGGTCTGGACTGCAATGTTGTAATTAATATGATTAACCAGGCCCCCACGGCGCTGAACCAGAGCAAAAATGTGCTTGAGAAGAAAATTGATCTACTGAAAACATATTTAGGTTATCCAGTGGAATCTATTGTGTCATTTCCATCTTACCTCTGCTATGATGTTGACAGAGTCCATCTTCGGTTTTCAATGTATGCATGGCTGAAGCAAAAGGGTGCTGCAAAACCAACATTGTCAGTGAGCACTCTTCTTGCTTGTTCAGATGCCCGCTTTGTAAAATATTTTGTTGACATACATCCAGAAGGTCCAGCAATGTGGGAAAATTTAAAAAGTTCACTTCAATCCAGCTAAGATTGATTTTCCATATCAGTTTTGATGAGTAGAGTTACCATTTTTACCTCAAGCTGCTATAAGTTTCTGGTTCTAATTGATTATTTTAATTTTCCACCTTTAATTGGTTTGTCTATGCTCTTTTTTTCTTTAATATGTCTCTTGTTAGGAGACACATATCACTCAACTATACTTTGAAGCGTCAGAAGGGGGGATTGCTTGATTTTAGTCTGCTCTCGTTCTATTGAAGAACTTTTCATCCCACTTGCTACTCCCATCACAGCCCCTTCTCTTCATGCTTTCGACGAGGGAACTCTGGATATTTAGGTACTTTCTGACCGGACAAGGAGGTGTAATGTACTCATTAGACTAGTAAAATAATAGATCTGACCTACGTACACTCTAGCTATCCTTCTGATAAGCCATAGTAGGTAGAGTTACCTGTGCTGGTGGGAGATAGTGGGGGCCCAGTGGATTAGTTAAGGTGCAGACAAGTCTGGCTTGGACAACAAAGTTGTTCAAAAAATCCAAGTCGCCCCTGAAGAAAAGTATGACTATGATTTTGGGTGCAATCCCTTGTCGTCCATCAGAGGGCAAGTCAAAAGACCTGTATAAGAGGTTTTTCGATTTTCTCAATTTTTTTTTTTCTGGTCAAGTTTCTTATCCTGAATAAGGCTCAAGAATCTCTTTCCCAAGTGGAGAGGGGAGGCTCTTAAGAATAAAGAAGACAATCTACTCTGTTACTATCAGAAGTGTACTATTTTTTTGGTGTGTGTATCAGCAGTGTTCCTTTTCGTTATTTCTTTATGCTAGTACGTTTTCAGTTCTGCCTCTGTTACTTCTCTTTCTGCTGGTATGCCCCTGATTTTCATAACAGATTGGGACATTGCTTGTTGAATACCAATTTTCTCATTCTACATATGTGCTTTTTCCCCCCTATTGTTGCTCCAAAAATAAACAAACTGTTCATGATGTTTTGCTATGTCATTATGAAACAATATTGTATTGGCCCCAAACTCCTTTGTCTTGAACTGGCCATGATTTGTGCGCCTGCGCTCTTTTCCTGTTGTATCTTGTTTGCTTATGAGGATGTTATATACTATTTCATATTGTAACATGAACAACCAATTGGCGTATATTGGTGAATATTACTGCCTTCTATGCAATTTTAGAGCATCATTATCTCTATCCTCAAATTTATTAGTATTCAAGGAATAAATTCCAGAGAATATCGTTATCAAGCTGTGCTGGTGGAATAATTTTATGAATAAAATGCTAGATCACTTCTTCTCATCGGTATAAGCCTTGCTGAACAGAGTTACTCGGTACTTGTACTAGTGGGAGGTGGTAGGTACCCAGTGGACAGATCCAGGTGCACGCACACTTGCCTAGACACCACCGTCATATAAAAAGCATCTAGAGACACATGTTTTGTTATGTCTCAGAATGCTCATTAATGAGTTTAGTGTTCTTTTGTTATTTTTTTATGAGGTAAATTTCATTGCTATGCATCAAGTTGGTGCCAAATATGTACAGCAGGAAAGGGATTTCTATCCTCTCATGTCTGTGGAGAGTTAAGAAAATCCACAAAAACGTGAACCACAAATACAGAAGCTGTAATGCTTTGAATTTTTACACATGGGAAGGCCTAGGGTATTTTTAAAAGACCTACAATTTTTTTCTTTCCAAACTGTCCAAAAAATGCATGAAGGAACTGTATGTCAAATATATTTGATTTTCTTGTCAAACCTCTGGCTGCATCAGCCCTTTACTGCGTCTTTAACAGATGAGAGAGCCACCAGATTCACTCCAAAGACATTAAGGAACACTGTCCACACCTCCCGCGAAAATCTGCAGTGTATCAGTAAGTTTTCAGGAGATTCTGCTTGTAACTTGCATAGGCAGCAATACTGTGTACTCTTTTTTGTAGACTGTCCTGCGCGAGGCATGCCCCGTTCATGGCAATCCAGCCAAAAACTTCAGCTCCTTCATATTACTCTCCTTTGTTAAATAAATCTATCCTTTTCCCCTTCCCAAACCAATTTATCCTGTTTATAATGTATCAAATCACCAATTTACTTTTATTGACTCACTCTTTCATAGGGGACCCCTTGTCTACAATGAGCAATGGTTGCAGTATAGATATGTATACTAGTTTAGAGAACTACTCCTATAGAAGCTAATGTTTTTCCATAATGAGTCGGTGGTTTGTCTTGTGCACCAATTCCTTTGCATACCGCTCTTGGCTAAGATAACTTTTCTCCATAGGGCCGCTTCTTCTATAGCCATTTAAGTTAAAGGCGACCCATGGAAAGTCCTTGCGCTGTTAATTAGTCTCTTCACCACATTGATTGTTCTAGACTTACTTACCTATTACTTTGAAGTTAAGCCTATTTGGTGGCGGATATAGGCTTTGCCAATATGTAGCAGAACAATCCAACATAATGCCATTTGTAACCATATTTTTTTGAGTCTGCACTAACGCTTCATTTAGGTCATTGTGTTCAGGTTAAGGCTTGCCCAGCACTTATATGGGGCACCATTTATGTAGTCCTGTCTTCGATTTAGTGTTACTAATTACCCCCCGGCTAGCTTTGCCCATTCGAACTTGAGGCATATGTATGATCGCTTCGGCAAAGCCATCATACATGTAAATCGAAGATGCTTAATGTTCTATTCATTAACATATGTGCCTTTTTCAAGGGGAAGTAATTATTAAGAGAAAGAGTTGTACTGATAAATTGCTTAAGATTTGTTGAGAAACTTGTGGGATCGTATTTAACTTAGCGTTGTATTCTAGAAGAACCGAAAAGGCGATAAAGTAGCACTGAGATTAGGCAAAATAAGTTCCACTATTTTTCTTTTTCAAGGACGAGGTTTTGTTAACAGGAAAATGATCTGCAACTCAACATAAACTCCGTCTTCTGCAACAAGAAATGACTATATATTATTCTCATTAGTTTATCTAGTGCAAAAAGTGATGATCTAGATGTCTCTACATCGCGGTAGGATACAATCAATTTTCCATATAAGCTATTCCAAAAGCTTGTTCCTAAGCAAATTTCTTTCTACTGTAAACATGGAAGTTTAACAAGCTGAATAGGGAAATGGATAGCGACAAAGCAGGCGCTCTAATGAAGGTTGTACAAGACAAGTCTTTATAAAAACTATTAATCTTACATTCAAAACTGAGATGGTAGAGAAACTATAGGACAAAACCCTATTTACTCATAGTTTCCTAAGTTTGACACTTGCACCATCTTTAAAAGAAGAGGAACATGATGATGAGGACAAGCGGGAGCAATGAAGTTCAGCTTTGTCTTTGTTAAATGCCCGTTGAACGTCATCTTTGAGCTCCTTAAATCGCTTCCTCTTGATCTTTTGCTCCTCTGGAGTGCCCATCTCAAGGAAAATTAAGTCGGGTAAGTCATCCTCCATAAACTTGTCCAGAACTTGAGAGCAATGTGGAAAATAGCGCTTGCCAAGTTCAACTGCAACCATAAAACAGATCAATTAAGAATAATGACAAGAGGAAACTTGAAAATACAATTCTTAAGGCATTCTTAGTCCATGATGGAATCTATATGTGCAAATCAAGAATATGTTAAATGAAAATATATACCTGCTTAAGGAACATATTTGGTCATTCTTTCAAGTCACGAAGGGTATTTGATGAAAAGGAAAATTGGACATAAAATGACGTACTAATAGTCATCTAGTAGGTTATCAAAACCCTCTACACACACATTTATAATTCCATTTCTCCTGGATATTTTGGGGATTAACATCAGTTATTAATGCTACAGACTTAGACCAATACTGTTAATTTGCATTCTTTGTTTTTCCTTCTTCTCCTCTTTTTGGAGAATAAGGAGGGAGGATGGTGGAGCAAAAAGTGGGTTCAGGTCTAGATGCTCTTCATGTCACTTAAGTTGCTACTGATTAGATGATGATGAAATTGGAAATAATAGGAGACCTGGTACATGTAGGACGATCTTAATAAATATACTGGCTATCAGTGGATACCTGTCTTCGAGAGGGCTTGCATCCTTGAAAGAAGTCTTTCTTTCTGCTTTATGGGTGTCTCATTCAAATCAACCTCCCTCAAGTTCCCAGATGTACTTTTAGATGCCAAACGGACTGCTACTTCAGCTGCAGTCTCAGCATTTGCAATTTGCATGGCTAGTCTGGCTTCAAGAGGGAACAGTAACCGTGCAAATGCCACTGTAATACAAAAGCCATCACGAAATTATTTGCTCAGCGTCATACTTAATTCATGCGAGGGCCACAACAGACTCAACAAAATTGAGTGCGAAACCAAATCAAAATTTGACAGATGAGATATTGCACATAACAAAAACAAACAACCTGATAAATGATAACATCATCGCTGCATCCCAAGTCATCATATAATGCAGAAGTTACTCTGTGTGTGTGTGTGTGTTTTATTTGTTCTTTTATTTTTCTTTTGGCTGGATTAGTCAATATACCCTAGATTTCCTCATAATCTTTGTGTGGGCATCAACTAGTATTGTGATCAGCCTGATTGTCCAAGAAATGGTACAACTGTAGTTCATGTACCAAGACTTGGCCCCACTGAGATCTTCCCCTAGATGTTAGAGAAATAATGAACTAATATAAATGACTTCTAACAGGAGGTGAGTACCTATTAGTCAACAATGTATCCTGGTGCAGATAGGCCAACACTTTCATTATGTGCGCCAAGCTTACCATGCTTTCAACATTAACTGTCAAGGTCAAAATTTAAAGGCTACTCTCTCCATAGATTTCCAAATTTGAGATCATGATCAAATGATATGAAACACTTAAATCTTAGTCTTGTAACTACTATCAATGAACAAGGCCCAGTAGGACTACTAATCTTGCTTAGTATTAACTCTCGGCCAAGGAAGCCTGGCTTCCAGATCTGCAAGACTAGAAGTTGCTTGGGCCTTGGTTGGTAAAAAGTGGAAACCCAAGATTACCGTATTTTAAATGGTACCTCTATTTTCCAGGTAGTGCAGTTTCATGTGCAGATCATCGGCCAACATTGGGGAAGAAAACAATGCATCTCCAGCCATTGGGTTGCGACGCATCTCTCTCTCCAAAACATCAATACATACCCGATCTTTGTTTGCTTCCTGGCCTTGTTCTGTTTTTGCATGGTACTCCTTAGGCCTAGTCAGCCTCCTACAGATACTAACAGCACTCTGCCCATCCAATGTAGTCTCTGATGCACGAGCTCCCTTAGTCAAAAGCGATACAATTACTGCTGGCTCCTTACGCATGGAAGCAATGTGAAGCACAGTGTAACCACGAGTATTACGTAGGTTGACATCCGCAACACCCAGTCCAAGAACCTCAGTCACAACCTTGGGATCACAATATGCCACAGCATAATGAAGAGCGTAGGCTTCATCTAAGCTTATGTTAGACTCACTCAGTAGAAGCTTGACAAGTTCAACATCATCCGAATCCAATGCCTTGTATATCCTATTTTTTCTCTTTTCATGCAAGGGATCCACAGGTAGAACCTTACTTTCATCAACCTGACATTTCGGCCACAATAATTTAATATTCTCTGCAACTTCAAAGGGAACCTCTTTCTCAATGCATGTGATTTCAAGATCTGATCGTGCTACTCTATCAACGGAATGAGTGAGAAGCTCGCTCAATTGGCAATGAAAAGCAACTCTAAGTATTGGGATAACATCTTCCACAAGAGCCTTCCCAACAAAATTGATAAGGCGTCTCTGCAATTATACGAGCTAGTGTTAGCAGACTGTACTCTTGATTGTTGCCAGTAGGGAAAAATTCTCTATATATTTTTGACAAATGCATCAACTTTTATGTAACTGGCAGCAGCCGTAGATTATTCATTGTGTTTATTATAATTAGGCAGAGCTGGAACAGTTACTGCAAAGACCACTACCCTCAAAACTTAAAACTGACAATGATGTCCAACTGCCTAACACAAATTATTAGATATGCATGCTAAACTCAAACATATCCATAAATTCCAACAAAGGCAATTCAAATTTAGTGCATATATCCATCAATGGCTTGGGGATATTCCATGTCAACTTGACAAGGTCCTTATTGCAATGACTAGCTTCTTCTGTTTGAAACAAATTTAGAACTACTTTTTTCCCAACAACCAATATCGGACACTGAAAAGAATATCATGATACAAGTAGCGAGAAATTGGATTCACAACACAATGGCATTGCTATGTATGATTATGCACAAAATCATGACATTGCAGAATATTCCTTAACTGGATACCACTTTAATATGATTAACGTATTGACCATACACTTTCTTTGACAAATTGACAGAAGTTCAGAAGAAAAAATCATTTCAAATGAAAACCTACAGTTCATACAGAGATTTCATAATACAACCTAATTATCAGTGGTCAAGCTAGACAAGCATAATCTTTTGTATTTGGCCTTGTTAGCTTGAATCACAACAAACACCACAAAATCACTTGAAATGTACATTAATCAGCAGAAAGCATGTTAGTTACCAGGAAAAGTGATACTAGCTCTGGAACCTGAAACATGGAAGAGGCATACATCAACTCCACACTAAAATTAATTGCTGGTCTGCAAGAGTCATGAGCACATATAGTGTCCATACATGTTGATACCTCCGGAGGGAAATGCTTCAATTTTCCTGAGTACAAATAGCTTAGGAAGGTAACGAAAGCCTCATATCCAACCTTACCATAAGGCAAAATATCGGTCATAGAATATCTTGGTTTACCTTCCTTTCCACAACTTCCCTTCTCTTTCCTAAAAAGATCCTGAAAAAATTTACTCCTGGCAGCTAATATACAACGGTGAACACCAAGTGAAACACCCTCAACAACAATCTCAGCATCAGTAAAATCAGAGCTGGAATCTGACAAGAGTTGCTCTAAATTGTTACTGAGTTTACTCAAGCTGATGATTTCATAACTACTCCCTGTCTCAGAGCCGCCATAAGCATGAGTGTTTTGGCCAACGCCAATCGACCCATTCGATGTAATGGAAGATGAAGTAAAGCTTATAGATGATGATGGTTCAGCAGAACAAGCCATTTCCCAATTCTAATGGTCTAAAAACATATACAAAATTTATCTACATCTAAGATAGTCAAAGTCCAGAAAATCTAATGTTTTTAACCATGTATAATATTCTCCGCACAGGCTCTATGCAAAAAAAAAAGAACCTCTCCAAGACCATAACCAATCACCAATACAAGAAATTCTTCTCAAAGGACAAAAGTTTGACCAAAACTTTCCATAAGTTTTCTAATAACATTCAACTATGCAGACCAAGAAAAGAAGCAAATTCCAAAACTACAAGTCATATTCTCCCTATTTCAGGTAAAACCAAATCAACCCTTTAAAACTTTAGAAGAAATTAACAATTCCACCCCATCTATAATCAACAAAACTGCAATTTCACAGTAAGAATACAAAGTGCAAATCTTCAACTGCTTGATCACAACTTACCCAAATGAAAAATTTACCAACTTCACAAAAAGTCAAGATAACTGGCAAATTTTGCAACAAAAAACTTCAACTGCTTGATCACAGCTTACCCAATTGGAATAACATTCACTTCGGCTAAAAAAACGAGAAAATTTGCAATTGCAGAGCTAAAAATACTGTTTTTTTTCCTGAGTTAGATCCGAAATGCAACCAAAAAAAGATTAAAAGGGTTAGAGTTTGTCCCTGGTTGCTTTGGCCTTTGAGGAGACAGCGAATTGGACCCACGTGTCTCAGGGAAGTTTCGTAAGAAAATAACGCTAAGTTATTTTATTTTTTGGCTGCGTGTGGCTATGCAGAAGAATCCATGTTCCTAATCGGTATAGTATAGACTATATACTTAGACCCGATTCATGAGATATCTCATTATTTGGTATCGACCCGATTGGGATTTTTTCCCATTTGTTTTGTTGATTATTTTGAGAAGCTTTTTAACATAGAAAAATAAATTGTTTATAATTGCATGTGATGTTATTAGAAAATAGTTACTCTCTTTATCCTAGATTAACTTTTTGATTAAGTTTATAAGGGACAAATTGAGTAATGTTTTCCTTGTCCCAGACATTCAATTCATCCTTTTACATTAAACATATAATTGTATAAGATTTTTTTTAAAATTTAAATTTCCATTTTTAGGTTTTATTTTGGTAGAAGAACAATGCTAATTTTCTCTCTATCATTACAGTCTTATCAAATAATCAGTTCTGTAATTTCATGTGGTTCCTAATTAAATATTAGTGTTTTTTTGGGTAATAAATGTGATTAAATATTAGTGTTAATATGGAGTATTTGATAAGGAGGAAACAAAGAAAATTTATATTATAATAGAAAGGAGCTATTTGGCCCGACCCTTATTAGTATATGATACTCGACCCGTTTTGTGTTCTGCGGGTCCAGTGGCTCTTCGGTTGTATAAAAGTGTTTATTTATGTAAGGTGTTGGTTAGCGGGTGAAGTCGTTAAGCTGACGCAGCAGATGCTGTCACCTCTCTTTGTTGGCTCCTATACACGTCATTGGTATCGTCATTCTTCTTTTACGTTTTATTTCCCTTTCCTTATGCATATAGTAGCATACTATTTCCTTTAGGGGTCGTTTGCTTGGGTGTATAAGAATAGTGCTCATTAAAATGCATGCATAAGTTAGTTATGTAGAGATTATTTTTTATCTATTATTTGATGTGGTGTATTAAAAATTAAAATGCATTGTATAATTTTTAAGAAAACTAGTTGTTTACAAAAATGCACTCCATATTCTTTATTTTTAAGGGACTTTAAGGATAATTTTGTCTTTAATCATGCTAATGCATTCATTAATACCCTTGGTATTGCTAATACCACGATTTGTCATGTATTAGTTATACATAGGATAATACCAAATATGGTGTATAACTAATGTTTGTATTAGTTATACATAGGTTGAAGAAGTGTACCAAACAAGGTATTACTAAGGGGTCGTTTGGTAAGGTGTATAAGAACAATGCGGAATAAGATGTATTAGTAATGCATGGATTAGTAATGCATGGTTTAGTAATGCAAGCATTAGTTATGCATATATTATTTCTTATCTATTGTTTGGTGTTATGTATTAAAATTATAACGCATTGCATAATTTTTAAGAAAAATATTATTTACAAAAATGCCCTCCATATTCTCTAGCTTTAAGGTACTTTAAGGATAATTTTGTCTTTAACCATACTAGTGCATGTATTAAGGGTTTGCTTGGTAGGAGGTATTAGAAAAAATAATACAAGCATTAGCTCCATGTACTACTAATACCTTATTTGGTATATTTTTTCAACATGTGTATAACTAATACCTATATTAGTTATACATCATACTTGGTATTATCCTATGTATAAGTAATGCATAGAAAACCATGGCATTAGTGATACCAAGGCTATTAATGCATGCATTAGTATGGTTAAAGACAAAATTATCCTTAAAGTCCCTTAAAACTAGAGAATATAGAGGTGATTAGGCAGGATATGGCGAGATTTCAAATTTTCGAGGACATGAATGTTGATAAGAAGTTGTAGAGGTCGAGGATTAGGGTTGTAGGTTAGGAGGCAGTTGAGTCTTTCCTTATTTCGTACCTTCGTGAGGCTAGTGGCAATGTATTGTCTTATTACTCTTTCGTTTCTTATAATGCCGAGTTTATTTATTGTTTATCGATTTTGCTTTGCGTCTACCTTATCTATCTTCTAGTTTCCATGTTGTTATTATTTTTTCTACGATTTCTGGGGTGATACTAATTTTGTCTTTTTGTCTTTTTGCCTTTTTGTCTTCTCGAGCTGAGGATCTTTTGAAAACAGTCTCTCTACTCCATCGAGGTAGGGGTAAGGTTTGCGTACACACTACCCTCTTCAGAACCTGCTCTTGAGATTTTACTGGGTCGTTGTTGTTGTTGTTGTTGTTGTTGTTGTTGTTGTTGTTGTTGTTGTTGTTGTTGCATTATTAATCCATGTATTACTAATACATCTTATTCCGCACTATTCTCATACACCCTACCAAACGACCCCTAATAACCTAGGTATTCCTAATGCCATAATTTTCTATGCATTACTTATACATAGGATAATACCAAGTATGATGTATTAGTTATACACAGGTTGAAAAAATATACCAAACAAGGTATTCGTAATGCATAGAGCTAGTGCTTGCATCATTTTTTCTAATACCTCCTACCAAATGACCCCTAATACACAAAGCTAATGTATGCATTATTTTTTCTAATGCACTTTACCAAATAACCTCTTAAAGGGTATATAAGAATAATGTTGAATATAGTGTATTAGTAATGCAAGGATTAATAATACAAGCACTAGTTATGTAGAGATTATTTTGTATACATTGTTCGGTATGATGTATTAAAAATTAAAATGCATTGCATAATTTTTAAATAAATTAGTTGCTTTCATAAATACCCTTATTATTCTTTAGCTTTAGGGATTTTAAGGATAATTTTATCTTTAATCATGCTAATGCATGCATTAATACCCTTGGTATTACTAATACCATAATTTTTTATGCATTAGCTATTCATAGGATAATACCAAGTAGAGTGTATAACTAATGCTTGTATTAGTTACACATAGGTTGAAAAGTGTACCAAATTAAGTATTACTAATACACAAAGCTAATGCATGCATTATTTTTTTTCTAATACACTTTACCAAACGACCTCTTAGTCTCTTAAAAAAGATGTCATATTTATATATTTTTAAAAAATTTAATATTAAACCTTTTATTTTAGTCACTTTATTTTTATTATAAAATTTTTATAGCCACACAAATATAAATATAATGGTTATAAACTTATACTCTTAAGCTTTTTGTACAGAGTCAAATGACCTTATATGAATAAAATGAGAGGAATCGATCTACCTCGTATTATTTTATTAAAACTTTGTTTATAAAAGGAAGATACCAGCGTTAGTGGAATTGAGAATCTTGACTTTTATAATGAGTGTTTTATCGATTATTTTCTTTCTTTATACCTACCTTCTAGTTTTATACTATTGACGTCTTCCTTAGGACGTGTAGTTGTTTGCCGTTTTTATATTAAATCATTTTAGGAGAAGAAATGATAATATTCTCTTTTGCCGTCAAATCAAAGTGACAAAGTCTTTGTCGTCAAGACATAGAACTGTCAATATAAGCGGGGCCGCAGCCCAGGCTTTACAGCTTGTTTGGATGGTTGCTGTCCTTTGTATTGTATTGTATTATTACTTTAAATATGATATTTGTTTTGATTGTTACTTAAATTTTATTGTATCGTATCGTTAAATCCGTCGTTACATAACAACGAAATGTGCCACTTTATGTAACAATCGATTTGGTGTGGTCGTGTCGTTACCTTGTCTTTTTCTCTCAATCTCACTCTTTATTATTATTAAATAATTTTATTTTATCATTTACCCTACTTTTTTATATAATAATTTTACCATGTATCATAATTTTTTTTATAATATTGCAAATTTATTCTTCATATTACTAGTGCGTGATATCATGAAACGATGGCAAAAGACACAATCTATCCAAGCATTGTATTTATCAAACGATACAATACAACACAATACAGTACGATACGATACATTATGAAAAGACATGTAACAACCATCCAAACAAGTTGTTAGTAATTGACGGGCTGGATTGGGCTAGCCCACTATTTTGATGAGCCTTATAATAATCAGCCCACTTCAGCTTTATGTAGGTTGCGGGCCCTACGGGCTGGCCCTCGTTTTTAAAATATAATTTTATATTTTTCTTTAAGTTCTAACCTAAAAAAAATATTTAAAAGTTAAAAAAATCTTATTAGAAAAAAATTATAAAACTTAATAACTTTTTATATTATTCTAATATATCATAATAAACATTAAAAAGGTAAAAGACAAGACTATATTTCTTTCACTAAAAGTCAAAACTTAAAACAAGCTATCCAAGAGAACGTCCATGACGTTTATAGGATATCCAACACATCATCTTCACAAATACATTTGAATCCACTTGTGAGAAGGTTATCTTAAGATCTTCACTTTCATCTACATCTACAATTCATATGCAATAATAATTAATTAAATATTAAATTTTAAAAACAAATTAATGTTTTAAGACGTTGATCTTTTAATATGATGAGCTTAATAAATTTTAAGCTTGGGATACTCTTCTTGTTATTTTTAGTGTCATATACTTTTTATATTTATATTTTTTAAATACATATTTTTATTAGGCCCACGGGCTGGCCCGACCCAGCCTCAATCAAGCCACAAGTTTATTCGGGCCGAGCTTAAAAGCCTAATTTTTAAATGGGTTCCAAAAATTCTAGCCTAATCCTGCTAAATCAAGGGCTGAGCTTAAGCTTAAAAGACTCGTTTTTAAATGGACTCCAAAAATTATAGCCCAGTTCTGCTAAATTACGGGCTGAGTTGGACTAGCCGAACGGACCAAACCCATATTGACCGCTCTATCAAGATATCAAAATTTGCATACGAAAAGAGAAAGAGAAATTTAGAGCAAAACCTCTTTGATCTTATTTAGATATGAATTTAAAACTTTGCCCCCTAAACTTGTGAAGAATAAAAGTTTTAAATAACAGAAATGCTTCCTTGATTACCAAAACAAATTATTTTCTAAAATTTTAAAAATTGAAAAAACAAAAGAAGAAGCCAGAATTTCAGAATAACCCACCGTCGTTTACCGCCGGATGACCATCTTTTTCTTTTTGCCTTCAAGTTTGAATATCTTTTCTTCCACGTCCGTT